ACTAAATGTTTCTAAGGGGTACAAGTCCCTGAACCCTAAGCCCTAAACCCTGAACCCTAAACCCCTAAACCCTAAAACCATGATTACACCCTAAAACCCTAAACCCTGAACCCCTAAACCTCTAAACCCTCAAACCCTACACCGCCGGTACAAGGTAGTTTACGCGAGATAGGAGATGTTAAGCCCTCAAAATCCCAACAGCCATGCATGACTCACGGGTTTAGGGTTTTAGGATTTAGGGCTTTAGGCTTTCGGGCCTAGGGTTTAGGGTTTTAGGGTGTAGGGTTCAGGGTTTAGGCAGGTTTTCAGTAACCGCAAGCCCCATAAAACCTTACAGAGCCTGCAAGTCCTTTGCACCTTTCCAGTCTCTTTTCCATTTGGTTACCCATGATAGGGGGATAGAATCCAAGAACCTGTATCTAAACCCTAAACCTTAAACTGCATCTCAGACCTTGGGGAGAAGGAGCAAGCCCCTGTAGAGAACTCTTGTTCTGGGCATCATGAAGCCCCTTTAGGGTGTAGGATATAGGGTTTAGGACGTAGGGTGTAGAACGCAAACAAGGCCAAGCTTCAAACCTTAAAACCCAAGCCCCTGCAACTTAAACTCAAGACCTAGGCTCCTACACCCTAATACCTGAACTTAGGAAGACCCCTAAACCCCCAAACGCTGAACCCTGATCCCTAAACCCTAAACCCTTTGAATGACACAATGCCCAGCTCTTGATCCCAGGTACAATCTCGTGCCAGCCGGGGAGGAAGATCAAAACCTCCGTGTTCAGTGTTTAGAGATTTAGGGATTAGGGTTTGGGGATTAGGGTTTAGGGGTTTAGGGATCTAGGGTTTAGGGATTAAGGTTTAGGGTTTTCGGTTTTGGGGTTGGAGTTTAGAGTGCAAGGGTTAGAGGTCGATTTAAGGTGCCCTACACTGAAATTAAACCAGGAATCTAGGACCCGAATGTTGGTGACTGTTGAAATTTCATGAAATTTCTACAGTAGGACTTGAAACTTGAAAAGCTGAGAGTTTAAGGTTTTAGGGCTGAGGGTTTAGGGTTTAGGGTCCAATCACAACTGCTTAATTACAGCGGCTAATACAGGGTATTTGGGGGGGTCAAAGGCGATAGTTTTGGATATTTGGGAGGTCTATGCAAGGTTCTTTGCTTTAGGAATCAGACCATTGGTCTTTTCATCTCTTCACTACATAGCCGCTTTGTATCCATAAGGCTTCCGGTATATCCCCAATGAAACAGGAAACTCATTCGAAGAGACCTTACACCTATGCAAAACTTAAGATATACGGTTCTCAGCAAGCCAAAACCTTAATCCTAAACCCCTAAGCCCCCTAAAGCCCCTACATCCCTTCAATCCCCTGAACCCTAAATCCTCCCTAAACCCTAAATCCTAAACCCTGCAGAGTTCAGGTTCAGAGGTAGAGCTTAATACTCGCTCCGGTGGTTGCTCAGGGGTTGAGATGATCTGTGCCCAACCCCATAACCCCTTCACTCCAGAATTTTAGGGTTTAGGGTTTAGGCTGTGGGGTAGTAATTGGGACTGCGTATGAGGGAAAATGGTGATTATAGTAGGGTATTCTGATATTCTACTGTACCACAAATGCAGGGTGGGAGGGTCCACCTAACCAAGACCCCACTCGCGCCGTAATATTCATTACAGTGGACTAGTCATGACTAGTCCAAATGGTCACACCCACGAGTTACCTCGCTCCACGTAATGGCTGTGGTCCTTGTTTGCAACGGGTGTTGGGCAAGATTTGTTGCCGTCCTTGAACCTTACACCCCAAACCCGCACTCCACTGGGGACTCTTTTTTTGATGTCTATCGATTTTGCATGAGATCTCTTGACCAAAGCAGATGCAGAAATACATCAATCACATGTGTGATGATGTAACTGGGCACACAGCATGAGGAGACCTGTGGAGGGTTCATACCCATGTGTAGAAGCTTCCATAATCAGGATTGGCGTGCCCACAAAACTAAACCATGGTATTGTTGATGGAGGAGATATTGAATGACTTCCGGTCCCTAAAGGCCTGTAAATTACGTACGTAAGTTTGGGGTCCTACTGTTCACATGACCTTAACATACTATATTGTTCTCTTTCTCAAGGTACAAGGTACTTAGGGCCATGACCCTAAACCCTAAACCCTAAATCCCTAAACCCTAAACCCTAAATCCCTAAACCCTAAATCCCTAAACCCTAAACCCTAAAACCCTAACCCTAAACCCTTTTTAAGATCCACAGGAGGTGGAAGATTTCCTCCCATTAACAGTATCCGCGTGACATTTCCCCAGAAATCCGGTGCGCAACTTGTTAGGCCTTCATGTTTACATGCGGGGTGATGCATCACACCTGTGCCCAATCGGAGGATTGCGCCTGCCATTCGGCAGCTACGAGAATTTCACGTGGAAGCTTCTCAAAACAGTTGGCAACCCGGTCGCCCTGCAAATGTATCTGTCCCTCGCTCTGTATATATACACGCATGTATACACAAAACTGGGAGGCAAATAAACAAGCGAGTATCTGTGTGCAGGCATATACCTGTATGTATACGTGGGAGTCTATCATGACAATTAGCGTAGAATCCAGAGGCCTAAACCCTAAATAGGAGCTCTGTAATCTGCTTTTACTCCCTACATATTCCTGGTGTTCCTATGGCCCCCTCCCCATTTTGAGAAATCCCATAGGTGTAAAGATGTCCGCACAACAATGCGGCCCCATTCCCAGGGTTCCTATAAGGGTCCCAGTTCTGGGATACTAGGATCTAGGGTTTAGGGTGCAGGGGTATCGGAATATTTTGAGAAGGTCCAACGTGCCACTGTCGTGACATCACCAACACACGGTGCAGCATCACGAATTAAGTAGACGCATCACGTGCGGACGGTTCAAACTAGAACGTCGGAGTGAGACTATATAAAGATCCAGAGAATATAGCACTTGTGTGCCGCTATCCGTCCTACAGGAATATAAATTTACCCTAGGGCTCAAAATGAAACAGAGTAGATACTGCGTATGCGACTATGGGGCCCGAAGTAGGTATTGTTTATACACTTGGAGCCCAAACCAAGCCATTTGCCAGTTGTTGGATCTCCCTTTGCCGTGAAAGCTACGCGGTTTAGGGTTTAGGACTTAGAAGTCCCCATGTTTAAACTTGTTGCTCTTTAGGCAAACCCTAAACCCCTAACCCTAAGGGTCCAAGTACCCAATAATTAGGTACTTGGGATTTTGGTAATAGTAATTGTAGTACAGGTTTTGGGTAAGTATTTGATTATTAAATACTTGGGACCCTTAGGGACCCTTGAACCTAAACCCTAAACCCTTAACGATTATGAGGTACTTGGACCCTCAGGGACACGCCCATCCCTCACGTACTTGGACCCTTAGCGAGCCTCCGAGTGAAGGTTGCACCCGCATACGTAGCTTTACAGGAGTGCTTCGCAGCTAACATCGCAGTGTCTAAGGGCAAGGGATCCTAAGTGCCTATATGGGGGATACTATCCTAAACCATATTACTGATTCTTTGAATGTAGACCCCTACTTTGTAGGGGTTTAGCGTTTAGGGTTTAAGGGGGGATACTACCCTAAACCATATTCCTAAGTCCTGTAGTGTAGAACCCCTACCTTGTACCATATAGAGACTCAGGACACTTTTGGGGAAGTGCATCTACCTAAGCCCTAAATCCTCAACCCTAAACCCTAAATCCTAAACCCTGCACCCCAAATCCTAAGCCCTAAACCCTCAACTGTATCTCAGACCTTGAGGAGAAGGCCTAAACTCTACGTCGAACGCCCGAGATTTTGGCACTGCTGGCACTGACAGCTCTCCAAGTAGCCGTTCTGGGGATTCACCTGCTGTGGGTTTAGGGCTTAGGGTTTAGGGTTTAGGGCTTAGGGCTTAGGGTCTGGGGCTTCGATTTTAGGGTTGAGAGTTCAGGACTTAGGGCTTCGGGTTTAGGGTTTAGGGCTTAAGGGTTGGGGTTTAGGGCTCAAGGGTTGGGGTTTAGGGCTTAGGGCTTAGGGCTTAGGGTTTAGGGTTGAGGGTTAGGGTTTAGGGCTTATAGGGCTTAGGATTTAGTGCTGTATTAGTGCTGTAAACAACGACTCCCAAACTAACCCTGTACCCTAATAATGGAGTTTTTGGCCCCAAATACTGAACGGCATTTGGGACCTAAAGCCCGAATATTTGAGTACTTGGACCGATGAAAAGCGCCATCCTTTCTGAAAGACCTACATTGTATGCGGGTGTCCATGTACCAAAAATGGAGGAATCTACTGTAGGGTCCCGCATCATCTGGTCTTTTCGAAAGAGCTTTACAGCCAAGGAACCAACCCACTACCGGGACCTTGCATGTCTTTTTTGGAGAATACCCTTCATAAGTGTAGGCCTCACGTAGAAGGATACAGGGTGGAGGAAATTGCATGGGGTGGTGGACTATTGAAGCGCGAGAAATCCTAAACCATAAGCCCGAAACCCTAAACCCTAAACCCGAAACCCTTACCCGAAGTGACTTGGTGGGTAAACGCCTGTCGACCCAGGATCTCCTCGCCAGTACTCGGGCATTTCGCAACATAATCGCCAGAATTAAGAATCTTGCCTTGGTTGGCCTTTAAAACCATTTGAAAAAACTGAGCATATAGGGTGCTTAGCAAGCGAATACCTAAACCCCAAAAGTATGTAAAATAATAGCCATTAAGCCATAATAACAGCCGTTGAAGGTCATTATTTCGGGGAAAATATGTACATGTCCCAAAGGCCAACCCGACACCCAAAACCCAAAACCCAGCTGCAGAAAACGGGATGCCCATCCAGCATCCACTGTGCTTCCTTGCATGGGTGAAGAGACATTCTCACCCAGCAGAAATTCATGCCATCAGGGGAATATACACCTGAGTGGTACTTTGAAGGCCCCAAGACTTTTTCGATGAACAGCTTCCATTCTAGAACAATAACTAAAAACCAAAAAAAATCAGTAAGCGCCACTCAGACGCTCAATGTTGCAGTTCTGGGTGGTGACTCGGCCATCCACAACCTGGCAATCCAATCGCCTGGCATGATTCTCTCCTGACCAGAGGCTACAATAACCCCCAATAGTACCCTCCCTGGATCCCCCATATAACCCCGTTCAAGGACCTTACACTCTAAACCCTAAACCCTGATCCCTAAACCCTAAATCCTAAACCCCAGGGAGATTATGCCTCATCTAGTCCTTACGGGCTCCTTAAACATTGGGGCACCCGGAGGGTCCAAGTACCCAATATCTAGGTACTTGGGATTTGGTGTAATAGTAATTCTAGTACAGGTGTTGGGTAAATATTTGTCATTATTAAATACTTGGGACCCTTAGGGACCCTTGAACCCCAACCCTAAACCCTAAACGATTATGAGGCACTTGGACCCTTAGGGAAACTACCATCCCTCTCCTGGTCTCCCATGAAGTTCAGGATGGGCCGGTGCTCTACATGTCCTTAGCGGACTGGTTTAGGGTTTAAGGTTGAGGGTTTAGGGTTTAGGGATTAGGGTTTAAGGTTCAGGGTTTAGGGATTAGGGTTTAAGTTAGGGGTTGAGGGTGTAGGACCCCAACAAGAATTGAAACGTTTAGCCTTCCTATAACAGTAGCAAGTCGGAAACCCAAAAAGCAAAAAGTCCTAGGAGCCAGGACTCTCATTGAGTTGTCGAAATACCTGAACACGTCTTGAGCGTTCTTCAATGGAAGGGGAACTTTGACTATCTGTACTTCTGCGTCGGCAATAAGGCCCACGTTGCACAAACAGTGTCGCTGATCCAAGCGCTCAGTCTTGTAGATCAGCTCAGTTTCTTCGGGGCATTGGCCAACCTCTGCGCAGATCTTGTGCACGAGTTTCCTTTGCCCACATTACCCTCGGAGGAAAAGGATCCGTTTAACAGAAATACAAGGAATCACATACCCACCAAGGTATAAAGGATCCCTCAACCCTCTATATATATACATATATATATCCCTACAATATCCTCGTAATATCCCTATATAACCCCTACATCCCCCTTTTAAAGGATCCCTAACATTGATCCAGTTTCTCAACAGTGTCGGCAGCTTGCATGTTTACGGTAGTGACGAGTGTGCCAGTTGCAGCAGCGTACACTTCAATTCCTTACTGGTAGGGTTTAGGGTTTAGGGTGGCTTGGTCCAAAGCATGTTACCATCATATACTCCCTAGCCCCGAAATAATGTCTAATTGTATAAGAACCTCAAATTAACCAAAAACATACCGGTGGCCTGTAGAATGGAAGATAAGGGCTTGTTTAGGGGCTACAACGGGGTGCCTTCCAGGACGGCTTAGAGTTTAGGAATGCGGTTCTCTGCTACATAAGATTATATAGACAATACAGTGATATTACCCCAATAACGGAACATCAGACGGACAAGAACATGGAAAACGGAATGGAAACTGGCGGCTTGCCACCAAGAATCTGAAACTGTTGCTGCTGCCTCTCTGCTCACCAGTCGCCTGGTGAGAAACATGATTGAGAACCGCTTGAATTGATCTAAGGACCGTAGGAGGGACCCCTCATAGGGACCCTTGAGGCTTCTGGAGAATATGGGAACTACCTAGGAATTTAAGGGCTATATAAGGGTCCCTATTAGGGGTTCCTCCTAAAGTCCCTGGAACTGATGACAGGGAGCCGAGATGAGCCTAAAAATGTGATCGGTTCCCCTGCGCAACTATGAATTCTGTTCATTGAGATGGGACTTGGCCGATCATATGGTTTCCCTGAGGGTCCCAGCAACTTGGAACCCTAAACCCTAAACCCTAAACCCCTAAACATTTTCCCAGCAATGGACTAGTACCACCGCAAAAGCCTCATGCAAGCGCAGATTTCATTCACCATCTCTGGGCGTGTGTATTTTGAGGTTGGAAGCCTGTTTATGGCAACCAGAACCGGGCGCCTTTTACATACTTGTATAAATATGCGTCTCAACACGAAAATTGCTCGCACACACTCTGAATGCAAAGAAAAGACAAACACACACCGCGATTGCAAACAGAATTCTAGCTAGTATCCAGGGCTTAGGGTTTTGTTGGAGAGAAAAACTCCCTGAACAGTAAACCATATGTTATATTGAGGGAGGCTCTCTGATACCCCCAACATACTATAGTCCTGCTTTACAGGGTGGTGCCAGTTACAGAACCGTGTTTATAAATCTCATAACTGTAACTTCTAGCACTTACAACTATGGATAGCCCCGTTATAGGTTACTTATAACCCATATCAGAACTTACTAACCCCACCTTGTATAAGGATCAGGAACAGAGTGGCCTGAATTCTTCGAACTGGACTTGTCCATACCTCGACCCTACCCTCAAGCTCCAAGCACTGTCTGTGCGAAAGTTCGAGCTTTGGGGGCTAAAGTTCAGGATTTCACGGGGCCTTCGGGGAAACCCGAAAAAACGCACTGTAATCCAGTTAACATGGTACTTCCATCAATGCGCTTCTGCAGTTTATCCTAGTGCCAGTACACCCATCCAATCCCTAGGTAACCCTGACTGTAAGGATTTGGGGTTTGGGGCTTAGGGCTTGGGTGCTACACCCAGAACCCTAAGCCTGTACCCCAAACTTGCACCCTACACCCTAAGCCTTAAAACCCTATGAACCTACACCCTACACAGTGGCCTTTACTTAGCCCTAAGCCCATAAACCCGAGCCCTGAACCCTAAAAAAGGCACCCTAAACCCCAAGCCCTAAACGCCAAGCCCGGAACTCTAAAGCCTAATCCCTCAACCCTAATCCGTAAACCCAAAACCCTAAGCCCTAAACAGTAGTTTCCAATTTATTTTCCATTCTCCCAAAATGACCCAAACCCAAAACCTGTCCCCTAGCCTTCCCCACAGGATCATGAACTGCCTCGCCCAGCCGCTGCGCCATCATGCTGGAATCAACGCTAAAGCGTCGAGATACGAGGGCTTAGTGCTTAGGGTTTAGGACGGGATAGGGTTCAGAGGGCATAGGGTCTACCTGGACCCCGAAGTATGTAAAATAATGCCCTTTATGGCTGTTATTATGGGTTTAGGGCCATTATTTTACATACTTTTGGGGTTTAGGTAGGAGTAAGGTCAGAAGCTCTTCGGGCTTAAGGATTTGGGACCTGAAGCCTATGGGAAAGGCTGCACGATGGAGTTTTAACTCGGATGCACTCCCTTTGTAGAAATCAGAACCCAATGCAGGTTTCAAAGGGTCCATGCAGGTATATGGGATATACTTGGAAGGGTCCATGTAGGTATGTGAAACGCTTCCTGGTAATGTAGAGCCATGATTAATAAACCCCCCTCCTTTTAAGGGCCTTTAATATAGTGATCCCTATTATAATCCCTATTAAGGGGAGGGGGTTTATCAATCATGGGTCTGGGTTACACTCTAGAACCAAAGTTAGTACATAAACTGTGCCTTTGCGGGAATCAAAAAGACACAACGGTTGCTGAGCGGGGCAGTATCCAACCGCCCAGCATGATGCAGATTCAGCCAGCGGATTGAAGATTGGGGCTTCGGCTTTAGGGCTTGGCTACAGAATGTGGTCAGCATCGCAATTCCAGAGATTCGGGGTATACCGAGTCATGCAGGATTCCTATTAATGTCAACCTTAATAATATATCCCTACACCCTCTACATCCTTGTACACTCTGTAACTGTAAAGGAACTCCACAATACTTCAACCCTAAACCCCGAACCTTAAATCCTAGACCCCGAACCCTAAACTCTGAACCCCAAATCCTAAACCCCGAACCCTAAACTCTGAACCCCAAATCCTAAACCCCGAACCCTAAACCCTGAACTCTAACAACAAAGCCCGAGCCGAGGAAGTGGCACTTCCGGCCATATGCCATCCTATAGCGAGTTTAGTGTCTAGATTTAGGGGTTTAGGGTTTAGGGTTTGGGGTTTAGGGTTTAGGGTTGGTTTTGAGAGTTCAGGTTTACGGGTGCAGCGCTTAGGCTTGAGGATTTGAAATTAAGGCTTCAGGCTTCAGGCATCACTGGACTTGCGCGGGGTGTGCCTTTACTTTAGACATTGGGGAGGGGGGTGGGGGTGGGCGCACCCTATCGGAATCCTACAGCAACCGCCTCTACTGTTCTCATTTAGGGTGTAGCTTCCACGCAAGCCCCCTAGCAACGCGAGCTCATACCTTTTCTCTTGTGTCCATGCTCAACCTTGAACCATAAACCCTAAACCGCTCCCCCAACCACACAGTGCAACATCCAATCCTGCGCAGGGTTGGATTTTCATTCGGTCATTCGGGCCCTGGTACCCATGCCAAACCGTAACTGTAGTATTTTGGATTCCATTGATTGGTTTAGGGTTTAAAGGGTTTAGGGTGAAGGGTTTGCGTTTAGGGTTAATGGTTTAAGGCTTAAGGGTTTTGGATTTCTAGGGTTCAGAAATACGGGGGTATAGAGAGTGGCTAGCTATCCCGTAACTCAAGGTGACCACGCAAAGGAGTTGGTCGTTAAATTTACCCCCAAACCCTCGAAACCCTGCACCCCAGGACTTCAGTGCGCAGGAACCTAAAGCCCGAAGCCCTATTCCTGCAACTTTAATAAATAGGACTTGGACGCCCAAACCCTATATATATATATATACTTGGATGACATTCTGACTTATTAAGTCTACCTACTATCTCCAACAATCCCGACTGTAAGCCCCAAAAACCCTGTTGCTGAGTAGACTTATCCCTAAACCCTAAATCCTAAACCCAAGTCGGATCAGCTTGGATTCAGGGCTGGTCTTTAGACATAGCTGGATCCTTAACCCGGAATCCTAAACCAGAGCTTCGGGAGAAACAAGCAGACGGCAAACTTAAGATTTAGGGCTGGGGTTTTACGGTTCAGGCTTTTGGGTTTTGGAGTTTGGGCAAGCCATGAAGCCAGACTCACTAAGGCGTGTGCTAATCCCAGACTTCCCCAAAAAACTCATGATAGCAGCTTCTGTTCCCAAAAGAAGAGGTACATAGGCTATCATTTTGAGTATCTGGTAGGCTTCGTTAGTAGATTACAAAAATTGGGCCCGCTTGGGACACCCAGGAAGCGCAACATGCAGCATTCCCTGCTCTAGGTTTCGGGTTTGTAGGGCTTAGCGTGTAGGATTTAGGCTTTAGGATTTAAGGGTTTAGGGTTTGTAGGATATCAGAATCCCTTCGTCCCTCCACCAGGTTCCGAGAACCACAATTCCCCCAGGCACAAAGTACTTACGCTCATTCAGGACCTTCTAGTATCATCAACGGGGTTGGCGTGAGTGAAGCATGGATTGCGTGTTTCCCTTAGCAGAACAAGCCCCAAAGACCAGCACTCTAGCCGGGGTCCCAGCCCAAACAAGCTGAGTGTAGGGACCAGAAGGATTAGAATAGGGTTCCGGGGTACAAGAACTATATGTGCCTGATTAGGAGAGGATAAGAACACCCCGTTTTTTAGGCTTCTGTCTCAGGTGGTGGGAGCCTGAGCAGGGGACCTTAAACCCCCTCTAAACAACACAGACTAGGATGTAAGGGCTCAGGGATCACAACTGAACTTGCGGCAAGAGCTCCGTCGACCCACTTGATGATGGCAGCCAGCAGGTGGAAAGGAATCATGCTCTCTGGGAGCGAACGAACGACTTGTACCGTCCCCTTGGATGAGTGGAGGGTTCATATTTGGGTTTACATAAGGTTTAGGGTTTTTGCGGTATATTGAGGTTATATTAGGGAAAATATTGGGATTATATAGGGATAATGGAAAAGAAAATGGAAACTACTATATTTTGACCCTTCAAGATGCAGTGCAAGGTGCTCTTTGGGAGAACCGGAGGAAGACTACGACCCAGGCGAACCTACGATTCATGGGCCTTCTCACGAAAAAATCGTGGCCCTAATCCGGATCCATGTTAAATTAAAAGAAACCTAGGACCTTAAACCGCTAAACCCTGGCCACCAAACCCTAAACCCAAAAGGACCAGGGACTTTCTGGGAAACCTTAGAGATTCTAATGCCCGGCAGGGGCTGAAACAGGGGATTTCCAAACCTCCTTTAGAAAGGAGACAGTAATATTAGTAACTGTTGTAGTCCTTCTGGACCCCATTATGACGTCCTAACTCTTAGCCCCAAAAGCCCACACCTTCCCCCATAAAGCACAACACAGTCCATGGAGCCTTGGGGCAAGAAATTCCCTGAACCCTATAAACCCTAAACCCTAAACCCTAGGGCCTGTTTTTGTCTTTAAGGGTGTGTGCACGTCCTGGGGGAAGGTCCAAGCCGAGAGTCGATAATGCCGAGTTCATGGTCAGAAGGTGGGCCCCAAGATTGGGTACCCAGACCCCTAGGAGGATCTAAAAAACAGATCCCCTATGTGGACCCATAACCCCTATAGAATCCTTATATAATTCAGCTTAATTATGGTTTTAGAGGATCTACGTTTTAGATCCTCTTGGGGATCTGGGTAGGTAGAGTCGTGACGGTGTATGGATTTCAGGCTTTAGGGCTTAGTT